CCCCCCCCCCCCCACACACACACACACACATTTAAATGGTGCTTTACTTTAAACTCGGCCCACTCCCACACCAAACCAAGCGCATGCCCAGAAGAGGCATTACATTACTTGGACCCAGCTAATGCAATATCTCTATAGATTGGATGCTTTAGTGGGGCTTTTATGGCATTTATCTAATAGCTGATTGAATCAACTATTAGATAGAAGCGCCAGAAAGCCCTGCTGAAGCGCCCGATCTACATAGACATTGTGGAGCCAGGGCAAACCAACGTACTGCTTCTGCCAGCGAAGCACATCTTTTTGGGTTTTTTTGTTTTAAAGTCTGTAAGCAGCCAGTGATATTACTACTACTTCTGACAGTTTGGTTTCACTTATATAATAGCAGTAAGATGGACAGTATGTATTACAGAAGGCACCTGTGAAAGGAGGGCAGTATTGAATATTTCCCCACCTTATTCAGTCTGTCTAGTCATCCAAAGGCTTCCTATCTCCCTGTCCCCTCAGTGTCATAGTTTCATAGTTGGTAGGGTCGAGAGGACTTGAGCAGATCATCAAGTCTGACCCCCTGCCATGGCAGGAAAGACTACTGGGGTCAAACAATCCTGGAAGGTGTTCATCTAGCCTCCTCTTAAAGACCCCCAGGGTAGAAGCCAGCACCATTTCTCTTGGAAGTTGGTTTCTGATCCTAGCTGCCCTGACAGTGAAGTAGCGCCTCCTGATGTCTAGCCTGAATCTACCTTCTGCCAGCTTGTGACTTATTTCTTGTCACCCCGGTAGTGCTTGGGTGAACAGGGACTCTCCCAGTGCCTGCTGGCCCCCTCTGACTAGTTTGTAACAGGCCACTAGATCCCCTTCAGCCTTCTCTTGTGGAGGCTGAACAGGTTCACGTCCCTTAGCCTCTCCTCGTAGGACCTGCCCTGCTGCCCCCTTATCCGGGTGGCCTTCTGTTGAACCCTCTCCATGTTGTCCACGTCCCTCCTGAAGTGTGGCACCCAGAACTGGATGCAGTACTCCAGCTGTGGCCTGACCAGTGCCGCATAGAGGGGGAGGATCACCTCCTTGGACCTACTTGAGATGCATCTGTGGATGCATGACAAGGTGCTGTTGGCCTTCCTGGCTGCGTCCCCACACTGCCGGCCCATATTCATTTTGGCATCAATGACGACTCCAAGATCCTTCTCTGCTTCTGCACTGACGAGAAGGGAGTTCCCCAGCCTGTAGGTATGCTGCTGGTTCTTCCTCCCCAGGTGCAGCACCTTGCACTTGTCAGTGTTGAAACCCATCCTGTTCTCATCCGCCCACCCCTGTAACCTGCCTAGGTCTGATTGCAGCCTATTCCTCCTTTCTAGAGTGCTCACTTCTCCCCATATCTTAGTGTTATCAGCAAATTTGAACAGGGTGCTTTTTACCCCCTCATCCAAGTCACTGATGAAGATGTTGAACAGTGTGGGCCCGAGGACTGAGCCCTGCAGAACCCCACTGCCCACATCCCTCCAGGCTGAAAATGACACATCCACTACCACTCCCCAGGTACAGTCCTCCAGCCAAGTAGCGACCCATTTGACTGTGTAGGTACTGATACATGAAGGTGACAATAAGACAGACTTTGACATTCCAGTTCCTGCAAAATGGCAAATGTCAAAGCCTTTAAATTGCTATGACTGCAGAGTCTATTAAAATAAAAAAAATTCTAGCTTTAAATTTCTGACCATAATGCTTTAACATGCTGTCTCCTCCTCATCAACTTCCCCTCACATTATTGCTCACATAAACACTATTTCTGTTTTTTTGTGTGATCAAGAGGAGCAAAATTGGGTCCCATGAACGGTGGTTTTGCTTTAGGTGCACTAAGCATGGAGAATATCAGCACTTGACAATGCTACAAAAACAAGATTAAATAGAATGAACATAGCTTTTTATGAGACACAAAAAGCTCTGCAAGAACTTGAAAGACATGGAACAATAGGGTTTTGTCTAAGTACCCAAGCATTTAAACTGAGACTTAATTAAGAATTTGTTTAAGTCCTTCAAACTCTGATAGCACACTTATTGAATCACATATTGTGAAAGACATTAAGTGAAGTTTTACCTGCCCAATCCAGCACAGTAAATATGAGGGCTCAAGAGACTGAGCTACTTTGAAGGCTTCATGAGCTTGCTGTAAAAATACATATGATCAGATGCAGAGCAAAATATTTAAAGACTGTTAAACAAACATAGACAAAAATGTATTGTATGGGTTACTGACAAAAAAAAACTAATGGATTAGTTATTTCCATGGGATAAAATGAAGTACAATTAAATATCCAATGAGATGTAAAGAACATGCACATGCAATCAATACTCGCATAGAGTACTTAAGTACCACTTCATTGCTTTGTCTTTAAAATTGAGACCAAGATCAACACCTTTCCCATTAGCAGTAATTAATGGGACATTTTATTTGCCTTTGGGGGGGGGAGGGAAAAATCAAGCCTCTGGTAGACTCCAGTTCTGCAAGTTTATTTCCTTCATAAAGTGTTTTCAAAGTGTTCATTCACAATCATTGCATACACAGTTTGCTCTGAATTGTGTGCAAGCTTTTTTTCTTTTTAATATAAGCAATTATTTATTAAGGAGGTCATATTCTTAACCTTAAAAAAGGCCTTGTAACAAGTTAGATACTTAGTGATAACCCATTTTCTAAATCTTGCATTTAGCTTTTTTTAATATAATACATTTGATTTTACAGAGTAGGGGTCGATTTAGTTCTGTTCTTGAAATTTTGGAGAGCTACAAATCAGATTCTCACAAAATCTAGGTAAATGAGTCTAAATTAAAGCCGCCTCATTTTATTTTTCTCCTAAGGCTGAAAGATGTACCAAAACATGCCAAATACCTAAACAACCTAAATTTTGGACTGGCATTTATGAGCTAGGAATTTCCCAGTTCCAACATGCTTGTGACCCAGATTTAATTCAGTTTTGGTTACCAGAATTTGTCAGTGCTAGGTTAAAGATACACTCTCTGCCCAAAAACTGCACGCACAGTATTGTTTTTATTAACTAAACTATCTATAAAAATACTTGAATTCTTTCCACCCCTGCATTGCGCACATCTACATGTGCGCTGTAATGTGCATTTATGCATGACAAAAAACCCCATGCTTTTTAGCTTATGTGCATTAAAATAAGCTAATGAGCACTTTTTTAGTCCCTCACAATGGAGGGCTCCTACAGACATGCAACAAGGCTGCTCCAACATGCTGTAAATCCAGCACATTGATGCAGACTCGATTAATCAAGAGTGCTGGAGCGTGGAAATTAACATGCTCCAACAGCCTCTGGAGTCATGTGTATCAGCGTCCCCGTGCTGAAAAATGGGGGCAGGGCACTTTAAACTAAAACTCATTTGATGGCCTTTAGTTCAAAGTACCTGCCACCATTTTCAGCATGGGGATGCTGATACATGTGATGCTCAGGTGCTTTTAATTAGCACAGCTCACTAATTAAAGCACCCCCCTTCCCTCCCGCCTCAGAGAGCATGTCTATAAACGCCTGGAGGTACTAGATTTAATGCACACTACCAAAAGCACATTATTTAACATGTAGATTCACCCATTAGTAGTAAAATGTATTAACACAACATGCCAAAATTTAAGATTTGAGGAGAAAAGCTTTACCTCAATGTGTCCATTTACTAGATACAAAACCCCCAAGTTGGTCCAGGCAACTACATTCTAGACAAAATAAATTAAATGAAGTTAAAAACCTACAAAAACTTTAAAAAAAGGAGGGGGGGGGGAAGAGAACCTTAAATGCCCACTTATAGGTAAATACCATCTGTTCTCTCACTTACAATTTGTTCAGCTTGAACGGATTTGATGAAACAATGTTGAGCAAGAGCATAATTCCCAATTGCTGAAAGACAGGAGAGCTAAATGTAACTGATTTTTGTTAACAGAAGCAGCTAAGCTGTCCCCTAAATTAGATGCACAGTTTTACCTGAGTGACTTACCACTACAGGAAGCAACCACACCAAGAGCATTCCAGTAGAGGTAGTTTTTACTGTCAAGCCTCACAGCCTTTTTGAGACACTGAGAAAAGAAAGATTAAAATGTGAATTAAAACACTCAGGTATGGCATGAGGTTTCTCATGTTTTAGTCACAGTTTCAATTACAGCAGAAAACATCAAAGCAATTTTGAAAAGTAAACAAGGTCTTTTTCAAGTATTACTGAAGATAACAGAAATATAGGCAATACCTGTACAGATTTCTCTAACAGTTCACTGATCTCATTTGTGTCACTACCCATTGCTGTTAGGTGTTGTGCTTGACGATAGTAATTTATTCCAAGATCACACCATATGTTAGGTAAGGACATCAATTTTAAAGCTCTGCCGTAACACCTACAGAAACATGAATCACAGAATCATTTTATTTCTACCCAAAGATGAACAGAACCTATAACTGAAGCCTGCCTGATAAGCAGCTTTGAAACAGCAAAAAAACAAACAAAAAGCCCCAACAGGTGATGGGTAACCAGCCACTTACGTGGGAAGAAAAATCAGAGCATTTCTTGGCTTCAGGCACAGTAGTTCAGATATGATGTGTGTACTGCTGTGACTCTCAACTAGTGTGTTGCACCACCCTAGAGTACCACAAAATCCTTCTGAGGATGCTGTGGGGTGCCATACAACATACTAGCACTGTTTAGGTGTCCAAACACCTACACACGATTCACAAAATAAATCCAAAGATTTTTAATAGTAATAGATTTTTAATAGCCATAGTGTTAAAAAAAAACAAACCCAACATTCTGACTTGTTGTGGTCTGAGTTCTTTGCAACAGAAGTGGCCTATTACTTTTTTCTGTAGTCCAAAAAGTAAAAAAATTAACTGCTGGCATTTTCTGAAGGGTGCATTGAGTCAAACAACATTGAGAACCACTAGTGTAGGGATATATCATAAAAAGCCACGTACACTATTCAGTTGATAGGCCATGGAACAGCTGTCTAGACAGTGTCAAACAAGTGCTGATGTTACTGCATCATGTATTGTGTGTGCGCCATGTATGTGGCTCAAAGAAATCTATTTAAGAAGTTTAAAAATTCTATTTTAGAATATGTTATTGTGGCTACTTTGTATCCTTACCCTTATGACATCAAGTACGGTAAATACCATGGCTCGGATTTTAAAAGTGGTTGCATTAATTTTTTGTCAGATGTAGCTAACTCCACTCTGAAAGCCTTCACATGTATGTAGCTGGCTGCATGCACCTCAGAGGAAAACAAAAAAGACTGGCTAAAATCCAGGTGCTTTTCCTGAAGTATATTTCTATGCATGAATAGAAGGTGTCATAAATTTTAAAGTAGTCTCTTATGAGCTTCAGGACCGGAAGCAAGTAATCCCCTATTCCAGAATAATAAAAGTTCCTGCATCTGGTTTTGGACAGTTGTGAAACTTACTAAGTTTGTCAATTTGAAATTTACAAAAGCAGTTACTGTCATGAAGCTGAATTCTCTACATCCTGGGAGACTATGGAACCACACCTATATTTGAGAGAACAAAAATACATTTCTAGACTGGGCTTCACCTACCCACTGTATAAAGATAAAGCTTTGAACTTTAGGGCAGAAAGGGTGGGATACTGTGAAAACTGATTAGTGGGCAAGATAAATAATTAATTTGTCACAATCCTGCAGTTATCACATCCATCTCACTTCAGCACAGGTTGAATTCAGTTGATGCAGGATTAAGCACAAATCAACTCACACTTTTAATATTTTACTTTTTTAGAGTGCTTAAAATATTTCACTAGACTGTGTACCATATACTGCGAAGTACCCAATGATTGTTATTACCTCCCTCCCAGGATGAGGAGCTCACTTTTCTTCAGAGTTTGCTTGTCTGTGTTCTGACCAATAAGGTATCCTAGAACTTTAACATTTACTTTGGATGTTGAAATCACATGCACACTAGTACACGCATCTCCAAGTAGTTTCCAGATACAAGATACATCAGGACGACACTTCGCTGCTCTATAAAAATTAAGGAAGAAAACAAACAAAGTAGTTAATTCATGGAAATCCTTAGCCACTTATGTCTCAGTCTTTCAGAAGTTTACTTTTCAAAACACTAGAACAAGTTCAATTTAACACAGGTCACCTCCAAAACAGAAAATATATTTCCTTCTCAAATACAAAATAAAGAACAACATCCGTCATATATCACTGTCACTACTTAAAGGCAATACGGATAGTGTTCATTACTATGCAACAAACTGAGGTTAGAAAGCAGAATACTATTTCTGCATTTCCACAGCCCATTAACAGCCATTTACAACATCTTTCTTTAACTGCAAGATCTTTGGGGTAAAAAGACCTAGTTTTTAAAATCTAAAGTCAGATAAGGCTTATACATTCTTGTTTATCAGGTGGAATTAGTTTCTTGCTTTAGCTATAAAAGTTATGTTTACTGGTATTACCAATGAAGTGTATACATTTAAGTGTCTAGAACGCAGCCAGTTACCAAATGATGCTGACAGGGGGACAATTCATGTGGACAGATAACTAAGTATACTGTGTCAACTCTACCCCATAAGTGGACTCATGAAACAATTACTATGGATCACTGGTATGCAGCAAGTCCCCTTTTAGCTCTGTAATTTGCTCATAGTAAAATTACTTTATTTACTCAAATATAAGATGACCCTGAATATAAGACGACCCCATAATAATTAGATTCTGTACATGGAAAATGTATACATTTGTTATAGATTCTGTATGTGGAAAATTATAACAACTCATAAAGAATCTATGTATTTGAGGGTTGTCTTGAATCATTGTTCCCCCTCCCTGACCGTAGTAGGGAAAGCAATGGCTGGTGGGGGGGCAGAGTCAGGTAGCCCCCTTGCCCTCTGCCTTGCCCACTTCTTTCCCATGCAGCCTTCACTTCCTCTCCCCCACCCAGTCTCTGCCCCTTCCTCCCTCAAATTTCCCCTTGCTGTCAGAGGTAATTGGGCTTCTTTGTCCAAAAGCACAACACATTGAAGCTCAGCCCTTACCTGGCTATGCAGTAGTGTTGGCACTGCTAATTGGCTGGGCAGAGGCAGGAGTTTCTATGTTCCCTCTGCCTGGGAGAGAACCCAGCCTGAGCTGGAGCTGAGCTGTGCCTGACAGTAAAGGAGAGGGAAGGGGGTGGGCAGGAAAGCAGAGGCTGGAGAGTGGGGCCAGAGGCTGCTGTGGGTTTGACTCTGGCCCCAACATGGGCTGAGGGACAGAGTCAGAGCTGCAGCAGCTGCCTGCGCCGCTTCATATGCAAATACAAGATGAGGGGCCATCTCCCCCCATGCTGATTTGGGGGGGCGGGGAGGGGAAGGGAAAACAATATCATATTAGAGTAAATATGGTATATAATTTTCTACAGAGACCTCTTCTGCTCATAGGACCCAATTAAAAGGAAGTTTCTGAAACTTCAGAAATAAATAGAATTAAGCATGAGATCTAGAATTTTAAAATGAAAAATAAAAGACAAAAAAGTAAATAGAAAAGCCTTCTTGTTAATGAATCTAATTTGACAACCTAATTTTGACCCTATGGAGTCACCACTTCTGAATTAGTTGGGTAAAATTTCTCCTCACCAGATCTTTAACAAAAAAAAACAAACCCCCTCAATTCAGGCAAGTGAACCAAGAAGAAGGTATTATTCAGAGTACAAAAGGTACTTTTCATACTTGTATCATAAAAAGGCACAAAATTAAATTTCATGCTAGGCCAAAATAACTGAAAGTCCAATCATCCCAGATTGTAACTGACACTACAGATTTTAAAATTTCCAGTTCACATTCATTCTTTAATAAAAAATACTAACTGTGTAAAATATTCAAGTGATTGCTCGATGCAGTCCAGTGCTTTGTCGTCTAGGTAATCTGCAAGAGCAGCCCTTGCTACCATGAGGTAGCATTCACCCAGACCTGAAAGCAAAAGAATTGTTACCTTTGTACTTAGACTTCTTTGAAATAAGAAACTTGCTGAATATCACAGGTAAAGTAGGACAGAAACAAATAAATGAAAAAACAAGACCCTTTTGCTCATATTAGTAATTGAGCATTTCCTACCCTGGAAAAAAATGAACTTTATATTGCTGGGTTTAGTAATTCCTACTGCTTTAACTACCTGTATGAGT